TTTTTGTTCTCAGTGACCCAGAATTAGTAAAGTTTGACTACATTTATTTCAGAAGCATTTTGGCTGTAGAGCAGTGTCTTTTATCCTCAAAGACTTCCCTTTAAATTCTTGTTTCTTAATCTGACCTGTGATGAACCTGAGAATAGAATGGAAAGTTACAAACTTGGGTTGATATTTGAAAAGCTATTTAAGGGATTTAAAGAAATGTTTTCTGTAAAACCCTAATGGCTACCTAGTGGCTTATGTTATGCAGGAGGTCAAATTATATTATAAAAGTTCCTTTTGGCTTTAAAATCTAAGATCAGATATATCACTTCCTATATTTTCATAGGTCATAGTTTTTCTAATGCAACCTGTCCTACTGAATGTCAGAACTCTGACTTTAAAAACTTCTGAATGCTCACAAGGTTTTTTACCAAATTTATAAATTTTCCTTCTCGGTGGAGAGAACTACAGAATGTTTAAATGATTTCATCAATATTTATGGCACAGAAGATATATGTGAAGTGCAACCAATTCCATGATATATTCCAGTGAGTTGACTCATTCCATAAGTTCCTTTTGGATATAAGCCTCATTTCAGGACATTGACTTTACTGGGACTTATGCACATGCTTATTTGCTGTCCTGAGGAGAGATGTTTTCCAGATTCAGAGCCTTAATCTCTATGTTTGGTCTGTCACCTTCCTGTGCATGTGTATATCTGATCACCTTAGCAATTTATTTTTCTTGACAAAAAGTAAGTTCTGTTAATATCAAGTATTTTCCTTGTCTACAGCTTTTTTCTCAAAGCTACTTCTCTACTTCCGGGCTATTTGACATCTTCCTTTTTTACATTCCAAAGTCTCTCTTTGAATCCACACTATTTAAGATTAATTCTAAAGCAACAGTGGAGGTCCTCAGAATTTGATATGCATCTGTCTACAGGAGTCATGTTTCTCACCATCGTGAGGCTCTAAGGGTTCCTAGGGCATCTTATGTTTCCCAATTAATGTATTCTGGCAAAATATAGGCCAGCTGTTTGTTTCAAGAAATTAATCATCTTTTAAATTCTTTACAGAGCACCAACTTACTCCTTCCTTCAGCTGTCCAGTGTGAAGAGTTTAATGACTTATTCACAAGCAAGTAACTTTTCAGCAAGGGAGTGCTAAGTTTAGTATTTACTATGATAGCAGAGATGGTTTACTAGTCTAAACATCACGTTTTAAATACCCAGACTCTCTGGAGCCACAGGTTTAAATCTCAGCAGGGCTGACCCATGCCTTTCAACCACTGAAGAAGATAAATTAAGTTCTGTGTAGTTTAGGGTAGGGGAATATTTATAAGAACCTGTTTGCTCTTCGTGGACATTAAAAAATCCCATTGAGCTATTCTCACAAGTAGGGGTTTGTTCCTGTATCCTTGATCTAAATTTCTGCTTTCTCACACTGTTATGTAATGTGGTGAACGCTGGCTGGGCACTCCACTACACCTGGGAGGTGCCAAATCCCTTTACTGACAATACATCATTTGTAAAGTGTCTGTAAGATGAAAAGCTTTATATAAATGCAAGATAATCTGTTCTGTGATGTTCTGTGGGTTATGAGATTCCCTTCTGTACAGGTAACAATGGAATGCCAATTTCCTTGATTTTATGTGGCCTCTCAAGGCTCTCTCAAGTTCTCACTGAAGTTTTTTTTTCAGTGGTTTTCCTTGTAGGAAATTCTTGTGAAGTCCTTAGTATTAGTCTTTTCTGATGATATTTGCATGATTTATTTAAAGTGGCATTTCTAGGAATTATGACAAATATTGTGGTCCCCATAAGACAAATAAGGAGGTGGCCCGTCAGATACCATTGAAGACCTGTCATAATTTAATAACCACTCATCTCTACCTATTTCTCTACATAGTCAAGGCTTATTCTGTGCCTACATCAAGCACAATTCTACTGACTTCAGTATGGTTTTAGTGGGTTTAAGTGAGCGCAGAATTTGGCCTTTGATTTGTGGTTTATCATTATTTCAATGTATATAAATATAAGGTCACTTCAGTTTTAAAATCAAATCTGCTTACAAAGATCCTTACTTTGGGCAAAAAAGTCAGCTTTGTGGGACTCAATCAGGTCACAGGCATTGGAAGGTAATAATTTAAAGCACAATGGAAAGTAACTGAAAGTATATACATAAACTGTTTTAGAAAATGTTTCCAATGTTTGCTTTAATTCTTGAATAATCTATTGCTACTTTCTATCACTATTTTCTTCTTCTAAATATTTTCTTGCATCTTAAAAAATTAACAAAGAACGATTTATATGTGGATATTCAAATAATATATAAAAATACAGCTGGTTGATCTAATATTATCTTTCCCAAAAGATGTTTTAAATTTTTTCCATACATATAAATTCAAGGCACATCTCAATACAAACAATAACTATCTATATTCAGTCTATAGTAACTATTTGTCTCTGGTATCAGAGGGGTAGCCGTGTTAGTCTGGATCTGTAAAAAGCAAGAGAGAGTCCTGTGGCACTTTTAAGACTATCAGATGTACTGGAGCATAAGCTTTCGTGGGTGAATACCCACTTCGTCAGTCCATTTGTCTCTGGTTTGTTCTCTTCATCAAGTCAACTGCTACTCAGCAGTCATCATTAAGCTGCCTCTGCAACTAATCCTAATATTAGTTGGTAGCCAGCAGACGATGAAGACTCATGTAGATTAACTGCTGAAATGCCGTAGAAATTGAACAAAAAGCCATCAAGAGATAAAGAAATACCTTTGTAAAATCAGTAGGAATCTTACTGAAATTTATATTTTGTTATTTTATCTCCATTATTATTGTTAATAATATATCTATTTAGCACTTGTTATTAGTAGGTCTCAAAACATTTTACATCATTATTCCCATTTTACACATGGGGAAACCAAGGCACATAGAGGTAAAGTTACTTACCCATGGTCACCCAGCTAGCCACTAGGCCACATTGCCTCCACTGCACATACCTACTTCATTTTTTACCAGGTCTTCCCTATGTAAAATTAAAGCAAAAAGCCATGTATTATATATTTAATATGTACAGGCTTTCTGCGAAAGGGTAGATACACACAGTACAATAAGTAGTCTCAATAAAAATAAAATTTGAAGCCAAATTGCTTCAGTCAGTTTGCTTATTCTGAGGAACAGTGGGAATATACTGTCACTAATATCAATTCATCTCTTTCTTTATCTGTGTCTTCATGCTGTTCAAAACTAAAATGAATATTTCTTGAGGTGCTTGTTCATATTAGAAGAGGGATTTTTTGTTGTTGTTCCTTTCTCTCACACTTAAGAAATGTACTGTGATAATGATCATAAAAATAATGTTCTTTCCAATGATTTAAGACAAAATTCTCTTCTCAGATCTACACAGCAGTACTCAACATGGATATTTTGCTCTCTCTATAGATGCAGAACTCCCATTAGTTGAATGGAATATGAATATCTCCCGCATGGAGAAGAATACATTCTTGTGCCACATAACTTTGATGTAGTGCACAGGTTATCTTACCCCCTCTGTTTGATGCTGAATTATGATGTTTGCATTAACACAGAAAATAACATATCAACATAGGACCTAATATTGCAAAATTATGGTAACTACATGTTATATTTATTATAATATTTTATATTATATTTATTATATTCTTTCACTTGCAATTCTTCACAGGGTGTTGCAGGACAACTAGGATTACCTGAGGCTGCTGGACATAAAGGACAAAAGGGAGAAATTGTAAGCATCTGAGATATAAGGGCATAAGGAATTGCAAAATAACAACCAGCTTGTCACTGCTAAGTTTACCTGCAGTCTCATTCATCTGGTTTGTCACAGTCTCCTTAGGAGGAGCGGATTACATACTTGATCAGGCCTTTGGTCACTGACCAGTGAGAGAAAGGAAGAAGAGAAAAAAATAACATATTTATATATTTGCGTAATATTATACTGGGAAAAAATTCCTTAGTGACCATGTGAAGTGCTCATCTCATGCCCTGAAACTAGACACATAATTACTCATTTAATCATCTTAGCTTGCATGGCACCAGCTATTTAACCAGTCATGTATGTATCCACTCCTTTGTTCATTTCAGCCTTACTAATTGTTCCAACAGACTCTTATGGAAGTGAATTACACAGGTTGACTCTTTTATTCAATTAGTTTTAGACTTATACCTCTTTAATGTAGTTGAATTTTCCTTTTTGTAGTGAAAAATCATTTTTATCATTTGAAAGGACACTCATCTACAGTATGTCTAACTTGCAGGAAAGTGCTGTGAATGCTATGGTACACCAGTCCCAGAGGTGTTTGGCAGTGATTTGGGTATACCATGTGCTCAGAGGCAAGTGCTGTAGGCACTCCAAGCGTTAGGCCTTTCAGGCTCCAGCTCTTGGTGGTTCCCACAAATAGAACTGGGTGACATTTTCAGAGAAATAGTTTATTCACTGGAAAATGCAGTTTTGATCACCCACATCTATTTGAAATTTGACACAAAGTAGCCAAAGGGAGGCAGGTGGGGTGGAACTTAGATACCATTCACAAAACAGATTTTTGTGTGTGTGCATGTTGCAGCTTCTAGCCCACACGTTAGGGCACTCACTCAGGATGTGGGGGACCTGGGTTCGATTCCCCTTCTGCTGGATAAGGGATCTGCACTTTGGTTTGCTACATTGTAGAATGGGGCCCTAGCCACCGGGCTATGGGACCTTCTGGAGTGAGTTTTTCTCAATCTCTTCTGGTCAAGCTGTTCTGCTGTGTATAAATAATGAAAGAGTAAGCGGAGCAGGGACGTGAACTTGGTTCTCTACCTCCTAGATGAGTGCCTTGACAGCTAGGGTCATTGTCATTTTCTCTTGTTGGTCTAATGACTATTCAGGTATTTTATACAAAGTGGAGCAGCTTCAATGGGAGAGACTGAGAAAGAGCTGCCCAAGACTATGCTATAGGACAGGGGTTAGAGCACACTCTTGTAGTGTGGGAGACCCAACTTGATGTCCTTCTGCCAATGATGTTTTAATTACTTATACACAGTGGACCTGCTTGAATAGGAGAGATTGAGAAAAACACACATCAGAATAGTCCAATAGCTAAGGCAGGGGTAGGCAATCTATGGCACACGTGCCAAAGATGGCACACGAGCTGATTTTCAGTGGCACTCATACTCCTGGCCACCGGTCCAGGGGCTCTGCATTTTAATTTAATTTTAAATTAAGCTCCTTAAACATTTTAAAAACCTTATTTACTTTACATACAACAATAGTTTAGCTATATATTATAGACTTATAGAAAGAGACCTTCTAAAAACATTAAAATGTATTACTGGCACGCGAATCCTTTAATTAGAGTGAATAAATGAAGACTCGGCACACCACTTCTGAAAGGTTGCTGACCCCTTAGCTAAGGTATGCTTCTATAATGTGAAAGACCCAAATTCAAATTCCTTCTCCACAGAGGGGAGAATTAAACCTGAGTCTCCCAGTTCCCAGCTAGTGTGCTAATAATTATAACATGGGGGGGACCACCATCTTCTCCTTCACTTTCTTTGCTTTTACATTAAAAAATGTCTGGAAATTAAATGGTTAGTTTAAAAAAATGATTTGTTCACCAAAACCTAGTTTTTCACCTACTTGTTTAATTCGCCACAATTTTTCAGAATATTCTGGTTAAGATCAAACTGATTTTTTTAACCGCCAATGAACTGAAAAATTAGTTATTTGCACGTCTCTACCCAAACATACTCATATAGTATGATGAATAACAAATAATTGCATTACGAGGGCTGCCAGAAATAAATACTGCATTTTCCCTAGGCATCTAGGTTTTAATGGTTCCAAATTAAAAGGGAGAAATTTAGCACACAACAGTTCTTAATCCAACCCCTAAGGGTAGTTTTGTAAAGTGGTATGAAGGTCAGTGACCTCAGGTCCAGTGCCAGGGTTACTCCCTGCAGGAGTCAGTTATGCACTGGCCTGGAGATCCCACAGCCAGAATTATGTTTCTTCATCTGTCATCTTCAGACCCATGCATGTGGCCCAGCTGTTTGCAGGCTGCTTCTAAGTATCTGTCTGTCACAGCTAGCCATGGACTCCCTGTGACAGGATTCTTCCCAGCCTGGCTCACAGCCTTTCCAACCAGCGTTAGGCTTCTCTCCACAATCAGTGTTAGGCTGCTGCCTCCAGCCTGCTACTGCAGTCATCATGCAGCCTCTTGTTCCCCCCCTGAGCTAGGTCCTCTTCTGGCAGTGCTTCCTTCTACTGTACTGGAGGGATTATGGAACCCTCTACTTGCTGAATGTTGTATTGGAGGTTAACTCAGTGCTCAGTAATGAGCCAGTAGGTTTGTTACAATATTTTTAATCTCCACTGTTTGAAATGCAGTTATATCCAACCCAAAAGTTCAAAAATCATGAGTCAATCCCCCTCCTACACAATGAGATTTTGTTTTAAGAGATGATCTCATGGTTTTGGCCTTTTGATTTTTGAACACCCCCCAATGTTTGTGTGACAATTTCAGTGTTGGCACGTCTCTCAAATATATAGAGTAAGCTGCTGCAGAAGGTCTCACTGGGGGACCCACATGAGATCAAATTACAAAGATTTTTATAAAATGCTGCATGATTGTGCGGATCATCCAGCTTCTCCCCGAGCTCCAAAATTCTAATTAATTCTGTTCCTCTACAGCCCCACATCTGCCCATCACCCAGCCCAGCAATTAATTATACATTCCCCTGCAACTGTCACAGCATTTCTGGCCCCCAACCGCACCTCTGCTCTTGCAGCTTCAATGGTTCTTCACCCCATTTCTCAGATCTGGGGGGGGGAGGCTACAGGGGGTTCCTCTTTGTCTTCCCAGGCCTGGGTGTGGGAATTAGTTCCAGAGTTTATTCATGCCCTCCTCCTACTTCCCAGGTCTGGTGTTGTAGGGAGTGTGCAGGAGCACACAGGGGAGATAACCCATTTTTAACAGGAGAGCAGAGAAGGAAGATTGCTGGGCTCTTTCTCCTCCCCTTCCCCTCTGTGAAATGTCAGCTGGTCCCTCTCCACCTCACCTACCCAAAAACTCAACTCTTAAGGGTGGGGAGCGAGCTCTGCCTGGTTCCTGCAGCAGCCCTGATTGTCTTCTCTCCAGGAGGCAGGGAAGTGGGGAATACAGCCTGTCAGAGGATTTTTCCCCAATAGGGCTGAAATTCTCATGTCATCTTAAGACTGGCTCAAGCAAGGGCCAAAATTGTGTGACTTGCGATGAAATTATGATAGTTTTTACCATTGTAATGCTCTTTTAGAACTCTGAAAATATTATATCTTCTTTTGGTGTAACCTACATTTTTTAGGTCTGAATTGGGCAGGGGGAAGAGTGAAAAATATTTTTTCTGTGTTTTTAGGAGAGCAAAAGGAAATGTGCATAGTGTTTGGAATATGTGCTTACATAATATTATCTTTGAACCAGCAAGGAGAGCTCAAAAATATTTTTGGTAGCACTAGCAAATAGTGGGTATTTAAAAAAATTCTCTTTAGTAAAGTGACAGGGTTTGTTACACCAAAAGTATTTAAAAGGTGCAGGTCAGTCCCAAGCAGTTTATAGCAAATTAAATGGTCAAATGTTGGGTCCAAACTTTTTGACAGAAAGCATCTATGTATTTTAAATAATGGAATATATATTTGCCAATTTGATGTACTTTTGGTCTGAGGAGAAAAGAGAAAAGACACACTAGATATATTGTAGTGTTGCCAAGTGTTTGATTTTGAGTAGCATGTAGAATTTTCTTCTCTTCAGCAGAAGACAATAACTTAAATTCAGTTGAAGCTGGTTAAATCACATTTCACTTATGATGATTAATAAGATTTCATGCAACATTCAGTGCAAGAAGCAGCTGGATGGGGAAGATTCTTTTCATTTGTCAGAATAAAAAAGGACAAAGATTGTCAACAGTTTTTTTATTTTATTAAAAGGGTCGGCAAGGAGAAATGGGCTTAACTGGTGCAAAAGGTGAAAAGGTAAATAATAATTCCTAATTCATATTCTTAGATGTGATGGCTAAGATGGCTAAGTGTAGTTTATTTTTATTGGGCCAAATCCTTGAAAAAGAGCAAAGGTCAAGTAGAAGAACTGTGGGCACAGAAAAATATGCTCCAATGGTAGACTTTGGGCCCAGCATCCTCACAACCTACATTTTGTTTTCTGGCCTGGATGTCTCTGCAGGGTGGTAATGGCTGTTGGGCATGTGGGTGACTAATGGACAGGTCCACCTGCTCTGCACCAAAGCTGGGTTTAACCCTGGTATATTGAAGCTGTGTCCCAACTGCATACTTAAATCCCATCCAACTTAAAGTATGTGCTTAAGTAGGTTGCTGAATAGGGATGAGCTGCTGAATGAGTTGTCCAGTCATTGCTGAGTTTTTCATATACTCATTGTATGTAGCCCTGGATACTGCTGATCTGTCGTGTGCGGAGTCCTCTGAATGCTTTCTCTGCTGCATTGCTTACAAGCATGGGGACATTGCAACATTTCTGGTCCTTTTGGGCTTTCCTTTCTGATGGTGATAGATCAGGATAGAGTCTATAATTTAGAGATGGGCAGACCTGCTAGCATAAAATAAGACAAAAGCTGCTGGCCATAAAAAAGCCCTATATGAAATTAATCTTCTTTACACTTTGAAAAAGGTTAGTCCATTTTTTGCTTTGCCTCTTTATTTTTTGTGTGCTTTTCTGCTTCCTGATTCAAGATGCATGAATTTCCAAAACACCACAGACCTAGGCACAACCAGGAGGTACCTAAAACCTCAAAAGAAAGCAAGTATCTCAAACAATGAAATATTGATTGCTGATTAAAATAACAAAATTATTTTACTTTCTCTTAAATTAGGAACATAAAAATGGCCATAGTGGGTCACATCAATGGTCTGTCTAACTCAATATCAAATCTTCAGACAGTGACCAATGCCAGATGCTTTAGAGGGAATGAACAAAACAGGGCAATTATTGAGTGATCCATCCCATGTCATCCAGTCCCAGCTTCTGGCAGTTAGAGGTTAGGGACATCCAGAATATGGGGTTGCATCCTTGACTATCTTGACTAATAGCTATTGATGGACCTATCCTCTAGGAACTTATCTAATTCTTTTTTGAACCCAGTTACACTTTTGGCCTTCATAACATCCCCTAGCAACAAGTTCCACAAGTTGACTGTGCATTGTGTGAAGAAGTACCATCTTCAATAGCTAGATGAAAAAAATAGCTTTCTTAGCATGATCAAAGTTTAGAAAAAGACTTTGCTAGTTAATCATCTTTTAGTTTTAATTGAAGCTTTCCAACAGCAGATTCAGCCGAAACAATTTTTTCATTACTGGTGAAAAGATTTAAACCGCATTTTTCTAGAAATAGCAAAAAGTTCAGTCATGCTTCCATTGAATCAATAGGAGTTTTGCTAGTGATTTAAATTGAAGTAATGTAAGGCCCCAGAATGTTAGAGGATCAACTAGTTCTTGTTAAAACCTTGTACTGTAAATGATCTTCATACAAACAGAAATCTAGTTTAGGCTGTTAATTTGAAAGAATCATGGTTTTGTGTATTAAAAGTCATTTGCTTTTGAGAATTTAACTCATATTTTTACACTATTTCAGTCATCACTTTCTGATATCTGTTTCTGATCCTGTGTTAGGCCCAGGACATAGGTAGACAGCCCTGCTGGTTAGTACAAGGCAAGTGGCCAGGTCCCCATGCCGCCCAGGGTTCAGAACCAGGAGTTCAGTAACAGAGAGACTGATACCAGGAATCAGCCTGAGTCAGGAAACCAGGAGGTCAGGGTCAGGAGAAGAGATGGAGATCCAGAACCAGGAATCAGGCCAAGTCAGGAAACCAGAAAGTCAAGAGCAGGTAGTACAGGGTAAGCAGTCCAAAGCAGAATGAAGCCCAGTTGTACTGACAACTTCCTGCTCCTCCTCATGCCTTCAGTATGTCCCACCAGTTGTCCCACCAGTTGGGGCCCAGGGGTGAAGCCGTCTATCTGAGTTGGGCTTCAAGGAGTCCCAGTTCTAGCTAATGCTAGTAAGTCAGCAGGTGGAAAGTTGGAGCATGATGATGTGTAGACCCAGGTTTGAAAGTTTTATGCTTATGATTACGTGTAATATATAATACGTGACCCAGACATAAAAGAAACAAACTTGGGTAGAATCCCATTTTATTATCTGTCCATATTCTTTATAATTAAATTAATGTAATCATTAAATGGGCTTTCATAGTTTATATATCTTATAAAGTTGTTTGTATGTATTGAATACATATAACTGTTAGTTTGTTTTCTATATGTTTTGAAGCATTGTTTTCCAAAAGCAGACATACAAACTATTTATCACTTAAAATTATCATGTAAGTATTAACATTTACTGTATACTATCACAGGGAGAGTCTTCTGAAAAAGGAGAAAAAGGGGATCCAGTAAGTACAGTTAAAGCTTTGAGTTAATGTTTATGCTTACATCTGATTTTCTCACCATATTTCCTGTGACACTCTTACCTCTGGCAACGCCCTGTAACCCCTATATTCCTCATCTATAAATAATTGTGATATTACATATAAAGCATCCCATGTGAGGTATCGGGGAAAGGTTATGATATGCTGAAACCCATTGTTCCATCTCAAAACGTGTATCATTAATGCATATAAAATTATAAGAATTGTGTTGGATAGTTTTCACTAAAATACGCTGTGGGTTTGGGAAGCAGCCAGATACTAGCTTTCCAGAGACAATGACAATGGAGATAACCAATGCCTGGGTGGGTGCTGAACAGACATCACCAGCCATTGTCCATCAGAGGAATTACAATTCAATGACTCACTCACAGTAGACACACCAGGGTATTGCTTCAACTTGTGACTCAGCAGTGCCCACCAGACACGCCTGGACTTGTGTTCTCCAAGCACATGGACTAAGGTTATAAATCAGAACACAGTGGCCCCACTGCTTTGCCTTTCCCCTGCCCCCACCTATGCAGCAAGCAACAAGGCCACTCAGAAGACTGAAGACTCAAACAGAGGGGAGTGGCACAGGTTTAAAGGGTGAATCCTGTGTACTGTGAACTGCAGTATCCAGTGGGTTGAGAAAAACTGCTAATCTAGATGTTGCCCAGTCTAATAGGGTTGAGAGTTTTGACTGAGTGCTTATATTTTCTTTTCTTTTGGTAACCACGCTGACTTGTTGCCTATCACTTATAATCACTTAAAATCTATCTTTTGTAGTCCATAAATTTGTTTAACTGTTTATCTTTATTGGTGAGTTTGCCGAAAGTGTTTGGTAAATTTGTTCAGTTTTACAAAGGCTGGTGTATATCCACTTTCCATTGATGAAGTAATGAACCAATTAATAAGATGAGCAGTGCAGGACGGTATATTCCTGAGGTACAGTGCTGGGAGTTGGGGGGATTTGGCTGGTGCCTTTCTCTGTGTGATTCATGAGTGGCTCTGGGAGTATTCATGCGATCTAGCTGGGTGTGGGGCTCCACATGTGGTTGTGCTGAGTGATAACAGCACCTGCAGGGGTTTGCTGTTTGTCATTAGCAAGGCATTGTGAGAGACAGCCCAGGCTGGACAGTTAAGGGGGCCTTAACTCCCAGGCTGCACCCGGGGATCCTGTCACATTTACATTCTGTAATAATTTTTTTGTACATTTTAATAGGTTTCATGCCAAATATTCCGAAACTTGACTATAAAAATGGCATCATGGGGTTCCATGTTTATTGCCTCTCGATTATTGACATATCAAATTCACTCAGTTTACCAGTAAAAAGTCGGCATTTCCAACTGCCAGCTCTTCAAACTCAGAGAGAGGCTTGGGCAAAAAGGAACCTTTCCCTTTCTTGTACATTTGCATGAGGCAGGGGCGGCTCCAGGCACCAGCGCAGCGCTGTGAGGGCGGCAGACAGGCAGTCTTCGGCGGTATGCCTGAGGGAGGTCCGCCAGTCCTGCGGCTTCGGTGGCAATTCGGCGGCGTGTACGGCGAAGGCGCGGGACCGGCAAATCACCCGCAGAAACGCCGCCGAATCCGCATGAGTGAAGGCCGCCTGACTGCCGTGCTTGAGGTGGCAAAAAACATAGAGCCGTCCCTGGCATGAGGGTAGCTAGAATCTCGGTGCTTGCAGTCCTTGGGCTAAATCTGTCCTTGGCCTCTCTCTGATTTCTTCTGTGAAGCTATTTCTGGGATGAATTTTTGGCACTTTAAATACAAGGTGCAGGGTCACCACAGAGTAGACCTTGGCACTGTAGATCCCAAGAAAGGTCTGGCTGATCTGAGATGGAAGTAGCTGAGTCTAAACATCTCAACAGCAGCCTTATTCTGCTCTTATTGAAGTCAATAAGATTTTGGCTGTAGAGATTAAAGGTAGCAGATCAAGCAAACTATCCCTCAGAGTTCTAACTATTATACTAGCAAATGCACTAGTCATCTTAGTGAGAAACTGCAGCTATTTCATTAACTCTGCAATTAACACTGAACATCAAGCATAGTACGTAAAATATGTAACCGCCTTTATTAAAAACCTATTCATCTCTTTGGGAAGCTCTAAAAACTTTATTTGCAGGCAATTCTTCTTATAGCTATATTTTTATATGTCACTTTTTTATTACTAAAGATTATTTTTAAGGAATCAGAATCCTTATTCTTTAAGATTTCATCTGCTGCTTTGTATTTCTTACAGTAAATCATAATCCTCTCTTTGTGATATGATAAATGTTAGTCATATTGCTTAATGCACTGCAGGAAGAGGCTCACGTACTATAGTGATGAATGCTGTATAAGAACCTATGTGGAATAGGATATACTGTAAAAATGAGTAGCTTTGGGCATATGATATCACAAACAGGGTAATGACATTAAGTGAAGAATAAGCACCAGGGACAGAGTTCTTAAGCAAATATTTTGTTTTCATGCAAACATCCTTAGGAATAAAACATGAGAAGAGAAATCAACATACCCGAAACTGCAAACAGAATTTTTCAAAAGACAATCCTTTTCAAAGTTTTCCATCAACAACTCTTTAAAGAATAACTAGATTTTCATTATTTGCTAAACTGTGTTAACTAAATTAATATGACAACACTTCTGTGTGTAGTAACTTCAACACAGTCAATCTTAGTCTAAATTTCAACTTATTGTGATCATATCTATTATTTTCAGGGGGAAATTGGAATGAAGGGATCACAAGGAATTAAGGTATTTTTCTGATTGGTATACAAAATATCTATTTGGTACACAGCTGTCTCTTGTGGATATAACATTAAATTATTTGAGAAAATTTTTGCTTTTTAGGGTGAAACAGGAGATCGTGGTCCTCCTGGACTCACTGGAAATCCAGGATCAGAGGTATTTTAAAGTATTTATTATAAAATTGAAAGTAGCGTGTAGTGGCTTCTTATTATGCCGTTGTGTAAAAGGACTTTGGGTGCTATTTCATTCACTTTTTATAGCACAGGCCAATTTTTTTTTTAGTGTGTGTACTTGAGTTGCATGCCAAAGTTCTTGTGTACATACAAACTGGGGTTATACATGCACACATCCCTGAATTTTGTGGCCAGAATGGGCAATTTGTGTTCAAAGAACATGTGTATGCAAAGTCTGAATGCACTTTTTGGGTATTACATTTTTTGAAATATGGCCTCCATAACCAAAAAGAGGCTATTCTGATGCTAATATTTATGCAGGCATGTCAGTTTTATTCTGTGTAGGGAGCTAAATTACAAATTAATTATGGTTAGGCGCAGGTGATACAATATATGTTACTCACAATATATAGCAGGGTTGATGTCAGACGGAGACTTACACAAGATTGAAGGCAGAATATAGCTATTTTACATTTAGTTAGTAATGATGATGTTGATTTCAGCATTACTCACTGGGGAAAAATTATGCAAGCAACTTTTAGGACCACTGCTATTTCTATCCTTTGTCTGGCTATTTATGTGTGCAATTACACATTTTGTATTGTGGATATCACCAATACAGACTAATGAGTGAGTCCTCCTCATCTGTCAGCCAGCCAGGTGGTAGCCATAGTGGATGCAACACTATCAGTCTCAATTCCTCCCCCTCACAGAGTGCAGGCAGACAGATTTCTCTAGTTGTTATCTTGCCTCTCTAGAAATAGCTTGTGCTTCTTAGCTGAGGAACCATCTCTCCTCCAGGCCTCAGCTGAGCTCTGTAATCACGTAGAATAGTAGGTACAATGGAGTCTTCCTCTCAAAGCCAAAAATACCTCTCCTGTGCCTTTCCTCTGCAGCCTTTGGCAATGGGCCCATTCTGTCCATCCTTCCCACCTCACTTAAGTACCATACAGACTGCTCATGCAGAGGCACCACACTCAAGCCCAATCAGGGACAGAAGTGGTTCTGAATCTGGTGCCATCCTCAGCTTCAGACACTCAGGAAGAAACCATAGCCTGAATGAATAGGGCCTTTTCTGTTTCCTACCTCTTCTGATTCTACACTCACCGTGCACCAAAAGGTCTTTTCAGACTCTACAATGTGGACTCTGATTTCCACAGCCTCTGGTTGCTCCGCTCAAACATGGATTTAGTCATAATTTCCCAGTCTAAGACCTTAGACCTAACTCTGGAGGCCAGTGTGTTCCTTCATGAGCCCCTGGAAAGAAGTTATGAAAATAATCTTTTAAACTGGGAACATCCAAATCACTACCACTTTCTATGCCTCTTGAACCCCCTGTGGCTCATGGAGTCCCAGGGGATCAATGCTGTTGACTCCAAGCTGCCCTTCCTGGTACACAGGAACCTCTCACATTGCCCTATCAAATATTCTCAGTGTGGCTCAAGATTCTGTCCACTTGCAGGTCAAACTTTTTGGCCCTTCTGAATCTGGTCCTGAGGTGAGGATATCTTCAAGTTTTGTCTCCTTGCCCTTAATCTTTCAGAGTCACCATCTCATTGGGAATTTAGTGGATTCTGCATTGAAGGAGGTTTTGGAGGAAACAGCCTTCCTCTCCATCCCTTCTTCCCAGCTAGAGAAACACAAACCCTCATCTTCCTCCTTTTCCTCAGGGAGGAATAGGCCCAGCTTCTTGTGGGGAAATCTTCAGTGAAATAGAAACCTCAGAACAAACCTCAGCATTCCTTTCACAAGCAGGAATCTACATCCAAAGCTTTGTCCAGAGAAAAACCACTGGAGCCATTTCTGACTATTCCTGTCCCTCAAATCAGACAGAAGAATCTGTGTTCCTTCACTCCTGAAACAGGGTTTCCTCAGACTCTTGGGTGATAAGTCATTAAATCCCCTCCTGCCCCCGATCTTCAGTCACATTTCTCCTTCTCTCTTCTGCCCCAGAATCCCCAGAAAGGGAAAATGTTCTGTAAATTGTTGGTTGCCTCCACTTGGTAGAGGCCATATACCTGGCTTCCTTTGGTTTGGCATCAGCCCCCAGGACCTTACAAAAACAATGGTCACCATCTCAGCTGCCTTTAGAAAGTGCTGCATGATTCCTCACTTGGCTGGCTGATCTGGGTTCACTGATGTAGGAAACCTCTGCAGCAACCCAAGGACACAGTTCAGTCTATCTATCCTAGGTACTTAAATGGCTCTCATTGCCATAGTATAGGAGTGCCCCACATTTTTAATGTATTTATCCTCACAAAACTATGAGATAAGGAAATACCATTTTACAGATGGGAAACTGAAGCAGAGAGGGGCAAGCTGATTTGCCCAAGATCACACAGGAAGTCTATTGCAGAACAGGGACTTGAACCTGGGTCTCCTGAGTAGTGGCTACTGCCCTAATAGCTAAAACCCCCTTCCTCTCACCCTTTTTCAGTGACCTTGGACAGGTGATATAATTAAGAAAAGAAACTCTCCAATTCCTTCCCAGATGCATATGCACCTTGTAGAAGCTTTATAACCATGACAAACAGAGCATTCCTTCCTTCCACAGAGACCTAAAGCAAGAAGCTTTGATTCATTTTTTTCCAGTTCAATGGCTTAGGATCCATCCAATCACACATGGCCTTGTTGGAGTCCTATAGTCCCATGGGCAGGATTCTTTTTTCAACCTTTTCAGCAGCAGCTGTTATCCTCTTTCTGTGGATACACTGGGCCAGATCCTCAGCTGGTGTCAAATGTCATAGCTCCATTGACTTCAACAGTGCTACAATGATTTACACAATTGATGATCTGGCCCATAAAGCAGGCCCCCTATGTGGACATGTTTTGAGAAATTAGCTCATTAATATGGAAACTTCTAATATATTTCATTGGGAAGCATAACAATGCAAATCTTATCAGGGCAGTGGAGAATGAACTAGCAGTAACTGTTGTGTAACACCGCCAGAACCCTGGTCATCGACGGGCGAGATCAAACCTGGGACCTTTGGAGCTTAGTGCATGAACCTCTACTGCGTGAGCTAAAAGCCATATTGCTGTTAGCTAAGACTGGAGCAGACTCATTAATCTCTAAGTGGTCTTGGTGCCCTTAGAGGGGACAGAGCACCACACACAGGTGGTGTGTGGGTTACAGTTGCTCCCTAATCCAGGTAGAAAATAATTCTTAGCAGCTCTTTTGTTTGTGTCAGGGGTAGCCAACCTGTGGCTCCGGAGCCACGTGCAGCTCTTCAGAAGCTAATATGCGGTTCCTTGTATAGGCACCGACTCCAGGGCTGGAGCTACAGGCGCCAACTTTCCAATTGGCCAGGGGGTGCTTGCTGCTCAACCCCTGGCTCTGCCACATGCCCTGCTCCCACTCCACCCCTTTCTGCCCCCTCCCCGATCCTGCAGTGCCCTCGCTCCTCCCCCTCTCGCCCACAGCCTCCTGCACGCCACGAAACAACTAATCGGGAGGTGCAGGGAGGGAGGGGGGAGGCGCTGATCAGCGGGGCTGCCGGTGGGTGGGAGGCGCTGGGAGCAGGGGTGCGGGAGCGGATCGGGGACTGCTGACATATTACTGTGGCTCTTTGGCAATGTACATTGGTAAATCCTGGCTCCTTCTCAGACTCAGGTTGGCCACCCCTGGTTTATGTCCTTATAGTGGATAAAGTGCTTTATTCTTTATTCAGTATAAAATAATTTCAAATATATTGATTTTAACTCAAATTAATATATATACACACACTGTAGGGACTGCAAGGTCCTCCAGGACCCATTGGACCCAGAGGACATCCAGGAGAAGTTGTAAGTATTGTGTAATTTTCTACAGTCAGTAAAATCTGTTGAGGTGAGATATTAGACAATGAAACAGTGCCATGGGAACTATTGTTGTGTGGTCTTTTTATGGAGGGTGATTTAATAGTTAGCCCATGGGATTTGAAAATGCAAATTCCAACTCTGCCAGTGACTTAGTGTTTGGGGTTGTGCAAGACCTCTGTGTGTCTTTGTTTTGTCATCTACCAAGTGGGGATTTTAATACTAATTTGTGTAACTCACAACTGCCCAGATCACCCCCTATTATAGAAATACACACCAGAGGTGAAAAATTCCACTAGACTCCCCTTACAGAGCTTGTCTGAGATCATTACAATGAGTTGGAAAGATCAGTGTGATAAGATATAAGATTGGGGAAGTCGGGAAGGGAAGAAAAATGCAAGGCATTATAAATAAATGGCCTCACTTTTACAATCTGTGTTTTTAAAATCTATAATTTGTCATTATCAACAAACTTTCATTAATAGTGGATAATATGAATCTAAGCATGCAGACTTATTTATTACCTTAGCACTCTAGGTCAGTGGTATAAGTAAGAAGTCAGTCAGGACCAAATTCATCCCTCGTATAACTACATTGAAGCCAGGGATAAATTAGGTGTCAGTCTCTAGCTTTTTCAGACTGCAGTAGTCCATTTTATTGAGAAACAAACTAAAAGGAAAATACTTGTATAGAAAATGGGAATAACAGCCTTTGATTATTATTGGCAGTTGGTACTCAACGTTCTTCTATTACAGATTAATCAAAAACAGATATTCTCTCTGACATGCTTTTTCATAATGTGTTATGATTACTTTAGGAAATTACCAACAAATGACTTGTTGCAATAAATGATCAAATAGAATACATATGACAGTAACATGTGTTGTTCTAGTTTGTCTTTATCTTCCAATTCAGCTTTGGACAGTTATTCAGCATTTCCAGTTGCATGTAATTCAAATACTAATACTATAAGTAGTATAATTATTAGACTTAGAATATATCTCTAGAGTCACAGTGTGCGTGCTGCTGCACCAATGCATAAGGGCAGGAATTGGTTCAAGGAGTTCTTCCTTGCCACTTGCACACCTGTACATGAGGAAACCATGATCCCAGTTCTTGGTTTACTGTGATCACAAGAACAACATGTCTCTTAGTTCCACAGTAGTATTAGACATCCCAAAAACATAGGGCCAGGACCCTACTGGCGGGTGGGCTGCAGTCACCTCAGGAAGGAGGAGAGGAAACACACACTTCCATCTTCAGTGGTGCTTTCCCACCTTGCATCGCCAGAGGTTTCTATTTGCTTAGGTGTCTAACAACCAGAGTGCCTCCAGGAGCTCGTGTTAGTGCCTTTTGCCTTTGGCACTCACATATACACGTTCAGAGGCTATGGTTTGTATAGGTACAAAGGAGCCCCTTTGCTTGAACACTGCTTTAAAAGTGTGACATGCTCATGATTATTGCTAAAATGTGTTTTCAAGCAATATATAGACCTATATTTCAATTCTGTTATTGTTGGCCATGCAAAATATGTGCAGGTGTATGCAAATAGGCATTTTGAGTACAAAATACACAGCTGTGTGCAAAACAAGTGACTGTGAATACAAGTAATTGATTGTGTATGTAATAATTTATTTGGCACCTGAATTTAGTTACTAACATTTAATTTATACATGCCCAATTTAGGAATCTATTTTTAAAATTTTGGTTTGTAAGGTACATTCATCTACAGTATCTTTGACTAAGTGGCATATTAAAACATGTAATTTCAAGACTGAACTCTCCAGTCCCAAAAATTGTTTGTGAATTGTACTGCACATTTCTTGGGGCAGGGACTGCATTGTCCTTTATGTATTGTACAGCACCAAGCATACTTGTGTGCAACGTGTATGACCATAGGTCCCTAGTTTTGCCTAGTCTTTGATTTGGAACAGTAGAGTTGAGTGAGAGGACTGTCGTGAAGCTAGTTCTGACTCCCAGATTTTCTGCCCAATGCATGGGGTGGTGGGTGCTGCTTTAACCTTGTTCCCCAAGAAACCATTCACCAGCTGTGGTTAACTCACTCTGGAATTTTTTTCTCCTTGCCTCTGACATGGCTTGTACACCAAAGTCTGCAAGGGAAGATCACTTATCTACACAGGGGAATCCCCAGTAAGGCAGCGAGGGCCAGATTGAATCCCCTTTGTGTCACTCTAAACATGGATGAAGCAGGGCAGAGACTCTGGCTCATAGTTAATACATCTAAACTCCTATATACTTTTGTAATAATTTTCCATTTGTGAAACTAGTGAACACCTTTCACTCATCTACAGTTCAGGTTTTTTGATATACTTTTGAAATAATTTTCCATTTGTGAAACTAGTGAACACCTTTCACTCATCTACAGTTCAGGTTTTTTGATATACTTTTGAAATGAATGATGTATGAATGTATGAAACAAACAATTTGTCTGCATTTAGGGCAGAATACAGTCAAGCAAGGAGAACACAACCAATTGAATGTTTCCTACTGACATGAACATTTCATTCATTCTTTACGTGCAAGTGCTAACAAGATTATATGTTTCCCACTGCAAAGAAAAGTTCAAGTGATATGCCTTTCAAGATCTTTTTGACAAAGATAATTAATTTTCATTTGAATGTGCATATTATTGGGCATGAATACTAGAAATTCTTGCCTTTGAGTAGATCTACCATTTGCTGTGGAACTTCCCTAAGGTTCATGATGGACAAGCATACACTACTTCATGGAATAAATGTAATGTAATGTATTAAGGCAGATGACAACTCTATACTTCCTTTTGGAACAAATGTAGATCACGCTTTTCTATAAAGTAAATGAAAATCTTGTGGGGTTAGAGAGTGAACTTGAGTTTAAGCTATTTATGCATGCTTAGGTAGTTTTAAATTTATTTTATTATTCTTTCATGTCTCTGCATCTCTAGTTGCTTGTATTATTAGGAGGGAAAGGACAAACATGAAAATCAAAGCTTTGATGTGGAAGCAGACATCTGGAGGAGGGACAAAATACCATTTTTTTGCTGAGATTTTTAATTGTTGTCTTTTGAATATTTAAAACTAACATTTTTTTTTAAAAAAAGGAGATTTGGAGTTAATTAAATATACAGGCTCCTTGAGGCTTTAAGAGTAAAGAAAATATCAAGCAAGTTGTGCCCAACACCGTACACATCATATCCCAGTAGCAACAGGCAAACTAATCCTTTAAATCTAGTCATTTTACTTGCTACCATCTTCCTTTAAACACTGTCAGTTTTCATGACTTTGGTTTATTTTGATATTCTTTTCCAGAAATCTCTTAATTGAATTTTTTCAGGAAGGTACTGCCCAGAAGGGTATAGAAGGCAATTTTTGATTAGTAAATATTCATTTAAACAAAATAACATATGCATAAGTGACTTTTTCACCTTTAATCTCAGATAGCATTCTGACCTGAAAGATGCTGTAATCAATGTAAAATGTTGTTTTTTTAAATTAACTAGGGTTTACCGGGAGAGCCTGGGATACCAGGAAAACCAGGAATTAAAGGAGAAAAGGTATGCACTAAAATTTGATCAATTTATGATTTAGACAATATTAGTCAAATATTATAATCTTGAAGGAGTCTTCCATCCTTCCACATTCATCTATCTAAGTACTTTAAGAATAAATAAAAAACATGCCTCTTGTTTGAAGAGTTTACCTTCTAATGTGTCGATCCAATTTCAATTTAATAATTGAAAGAATCCCATTGATTTAAAAGGGGGTTGGATTAGGCCTGTAGTTGGACATACCAGTACTACAGAACAGCAAGAGTTAATTGTGTGTGTGTGTGTGTATACCTTCATGTACTGGGAGAGGGGGAGAATTATATGGGAAGGATGTGAATTCTGAGATAAGTTATTGCATTTATACATCTTGGGGTTTGTGTTTTAAAGAAAGCCAATGAAGTACATTAATAGTTTGAGGGTGCAAGCTGTTGAGCAGGCATGAATAGAGGTCAGCATTGGGGCACAGACATAAAGAAGCTAGTCTTGTGGAACAGGAAGAAGTATAAGGTTGCACACACATGATCTGGGAGGATATCTGAGGTGAAAAGGGCAGCATGAGAAAAGGCACAAAGTCACTTGTGGAAGATGGAGTTGGGCTAGCCAGAGATGTGCTGAGTTCATAGAGTGTAGAGTTAAAGTGAGAAAGATAAGGGAGATGTAGGTAGGAGTACAGCCAAGCAGAGCCTTTAAGGTGAGAAGAGGAAATGTCAGTAATTGAGATGAGGGATTGACTAAGGCACGGATCCAGATTTTTGCAATAGGGATAGAGAGGAGGGGATGAACTGTGGAGATGTTGCAGAGGAATAACTGGCAGGATTTAAAGACAGTCTGGGTATTAGAGGATGAAGGAGAAAGAAGTGTAGATATGATACCAGCATTGCAAGCATGAGTAACTGGAAAAATAGCGGAGTTATTAACTAGATTAGATGGACTCTTGGTCTTTTCTCTATAGAAAATCCCATGTTCCTATGTTTTATTTTGTTTTTTTACCTTGCATACTTACCCATGTAACATTTTTTTAGGGAAAATATATATTTTGTTAAGAAATTAGAAGCTGTAGATGTGTTATCTAAACATATGTAACAGATTTCAAGACATGTCAGTACTTCCAAACACCCTATCATAAGACTCCCTGTAGAATAGGTGTTGGCCTATCTGATTTACAGTGAAAAATCTCTGCTAGCAGTATAGCAAACACCTGCTTTAGTGTATAGAGCCTGGCTGGCATTACAAATAATGTTTAAAAAGTTGGTTTTGTTTTATAAAACTGGAGTCATGTGTTTGATTCCTAAATAAGCTGATGTAAGTACAGTAGTACATTCTGAAATAGGGCTGTTTAAAATGTTTACCAATACCTAGAGATGATAGGTAACAGAGATCTACCATGTAAAATAGTCACGATAACCAAGACTTATCTTAATGTTAATTTTCCTGAAAGAAAACACTAACATTTCAATTAGTGGTTTATATCTATTCCACAGGGTGATTCTGGTGGAATTATAGGGCCTCCTGGACATCCAGGTCCAAGAGGTGAGACAGGACCCCCTGGGCCAAGTCTGCCTGGGAAACCAGTAAGTACTTGCTACAAGGGCTTTCATTGCTTGTTTCCATGTAGCACTTGTAGCACTACTGAAAATGATTTGTATAGCAATACTAGTATAATTTTGAAAACAAAGTGTATGTTATGCCTGTAAAGCAAGTGCATAGAAAATACAGTCTAAAATCTCTTGTTAATGCAAGTGTCTTTTCAATGATCCTACAGACCGTGGCACTAATAATCAAGATGTAGACAGATCATTTTTATTTACAAATGCTGACTACCTCTGACAATAAAATTCAATCAGACTCTGCAATTTTAAGGTAGAATTATTGTTTTTTAGGGTCTGGCTGGCACTCCTGGAACCCCAGGTCCACGAGGGCCTAAGGTATACAAAATTATCATGGTTCCTATTTCTAAGAGATACACTAATTTCTGCTTTTAAAGATGAAACAGAAAGTTTTGTAACCTTATCAGGGTGAAAGAGGACTGCCTGGCGTACAAGGGTCTCCTGGAGAGATGGGGCCACTTGGAATAGGAATTCAAGGACCTCCTGTAAGTATAGCAAACAGTATATGAGAGTTTCATTTTAGTTATTACTGAGAAATCTATGTAATGATCAGGTTCATATAACATGTTTCAGATTAGATATTCCTGATATGAGTTCCCTGCTGCTTTGTGATTCCTGACCCAACACCTCTTCCCCTTTCACAGAGCGGAAAATGATATTACTGTCTAGGTCTTGTTGTTAGTCCCTCTAGAACTTCACTTATAAGTGGAGGATGGGAGACTTGCAAGAGCCTGTACTCCGTGCCCTCCCACATTAATTACACATTGCACTGGGACATCATAAAGCTGAAGGTTCTTTTTCTGGCTGACAGCTGTTTTGAATTTGTCTGCCCTTTCTGCTTCCAGCACTTGCACATGAGAAGAGACACTAAGCCCCGTTCAGCAGCCCTGGCTGTCACTCAGTCAATAACCACAGTCCCCTTCTCTGTGTCATCCCCCGTGCCCTGTACAGTGGGAGAGGCAGAGGCAGGTACTCTGCCTCGGGAAGGAAAAGGTGAGGCTGGGCAGATGGGCAGCAGCTCCAGGGCTTCAGTGTTGGCATGCCTGAATTACTAGAATTGGAGTACTGTGGGTGAATTGTGGGTGCAGAACTGGAGAATTGTGGGTGCAGAGTCTCCAGCCAGAGCTGCACAACTCAGCACAAGCTTCACACCCATCAAGCAACAAAGTCCAGATGTGGCCAATTTCCACCTGTATATTTTAAACATGAAATGAGCAAAGGACACTATATCTGGAGTAATCAGAGTAAATAGCTGCAGTAGTATGGTCTTTTACATCATTCTTGCCATCAGCAGCACACTGTTTGAAATGCTTTTTCATTCTTGCTTCCTAACACTGCATCTTTATTACACTTATTACTTCAGCATCCAGTCCATTTCTGGAAGTATCAGTGGTTACAAGAACTTCTTCAGATATTCCCCCAAAGTAAATAGAACATATTTTTGAAAAGTAAGACATAGAAAAATATCAGTGTTTTTTCTTTAGAATGTAGCTAGCTCCAGAAATTATAAACTTCATTACAGCAACCTATACTATTTTCTCCCAGCATTCACTGCTAACTTCAAACGTTAAGGGCCCTAAAGTTTTCCAAGGTTGCAATACCAAGTAGCAGATCCTTTGCCAAGGTGTTGTACAGAGACAATCTGTAATAGTGTGGACTGGAAGATAGATTTCTCCCTCAAGATAAACTCGGGGCTGCAGTGGATTCCATGGGGTTGCTGCCCATATTCACCAGGTGAGGGATTTTTCCTTCTGCATTTACATAGTCACGTGTCCACCATTCTTAGCTTACTCAAACATCCTCATTATTGTGTGAGCCCCAATAGTGCACAGCTCTGTGGTGATCAGGACCCCAGTGTGCTCCCCCAGAATACTGCCCCTCCATAAGCCATGGAACCCTCTGCAACCTGGGAAGTTAGGAAGAGATTTGGCCTTAAAAGGACTGAGTTTTAGAGAATGCCAGCAGTTGTTTCATAATCCAAGCGATAATCTTTCTTTGTCTAGTTGTCTTGATAGTGTTCAATAATATAGGAGGTAGATGACACAAGTCATGTTCATGAATTCTACTGCGATGAAAATGGCAATATCCTGTTAGTCCAATCCAACATATTAAACTGAACGTTTCACTTCATTGAAATGACTAAGTTATAGAAATCATAGTACTTGAGACAGATGGCTATAGATTTAAATATAAGTTTTAAGCAAGTCTAATAATTTAAAAAACAAATTAATGTTATTTAAATGTTTACATTTTTACATTGATTCTTAGGCATCCTACAATTTGTGATGCCTTTGCCTATTGCACTGCATTAATTTCAGTTTTCCCTGTAAATCTCAAGCTAACTGACCAGTCTATTAGTCATTGGTCAGTGGCCTTACTTTCCATGTGAAATGGTTCTTAACCAAAATACTGGATCTGATCACCCTTGAACTTTAGCAAAATTGGGTCCAGATTTGTAACCTGACATTTCAGCAGGTCCCATTCTCTAAGATGCGCTGAACCAAAAGCCCACAGTATTTTTGGTTCAAGATCACCCCTGTTTTAAAAGCATTGCTGCTGTTATCTGAGTCTACATTTGGCTATTTTTACAGGGTCCTAAAGGTCCATTTGGGGAACCAGGTGCCCAGGTAAAATACTTATTGTATAATTTGGAAAAATGAATTTAACTTAATAGGTTTTCCAGTTTCTTGAATCATATCTTAAGTAACTGTTCTGTATATTAGGGCCCTAGAGGACCCCCTGGATTACCTGGAACTCCAGGTACCCCAGGTGCTGATGTAAGTAACAGTTCTTTATATAACACTATATTGATGTATGTGCCTCTTATCAATGACTGAAATTTAAAATGCAATGGTCTTGTTTCTGTTTCTAGGGTAGTCCAGGACCAGATGGGAAGCCAGGACTTCCTGGTCCTCCAGGTGACCCAGTATGTATACAAACTATGCTTGACTTACATTGTGTGGATGCTAGTATTTTAAAACAGAAAGACACCAGATGCCTAGTAGGCCTAGCAAACTGTATTCCAGGGATCGGCAACCTTTGGCACATAGCCCACCAGGGCCAGCCCCCCACAGCCCCCATTGGCCTGGAGCGGCGAACCGCAGCCAGTGGGAGCCGCGATCGGCCGAACCTGCGGACGCGGCAGGTAAACAAACTGCCCGGCCTGCCAGGGTGCTTACCCTGGCGGGCCGCATGCCAAAGGTTGCCGATCCCTGTTGTATTCAGTTGACTGCCTAGTGATTTTTTTTTTATTTAGTTCATAACAATATAATTAATGTTATGGTTATGTGAGCACTTTCATGATAAAAGTCTGTTTTCAGGAGGTTATACTTTAGCTTTAATAGTTTGTTCCAGGCTGCAACTTGGCTTACCATGTCTCAGCCCCAGGAGCAGTTCTGTATAAATTTTCAAAGACTATAGTTTGGTTCTTCTTAAATTACAAGACTATGGGGAAAATTGCATTGCTCTGACACATTTAAAAAGCTATTATATTATTAATGACATTTTGAAAATAATTAGCCCATAATGTGAACTAATTTTCTCGAGTACTAACGAAAGAATTAAATGGCTAAGATGAACAGACACCTGAAACGAGTTTAGATCCTTTAACATGTTCCCCAAAGTTGAAACTTTACAAGCTTAATTTTGATTTTAAAACAAATGCTGACAGAGCCATCAAAAAGGGTAAATAAAACTCTCAGAATTCCTAGAGCAGCTCTTGGGACCTGTTGCTCAGCAAAGTGAAACCCTTTAGTCACTTGTTAACCTCACTTTGGTCCTTTGGCCTTTCCTAAGTGGTTTGGGCCAAAGCCTGCTATCATATAACCAGATTTTTAAAAAGGCTTAGTTTCAGATAACAGGTGAGATGCAGTGGTAACTCCTCAAGTGTAGGAAATTGTTTAAATTCTAAATACCATCTTAGTTTTTATTTGAGACATGACATATATAAAAAGAAAATAAAAAGACATGGCTATCCCAAACACCAAGCTCCAGTGCTGGGAAAGCTTATGGTGTCTTTCAGCCAAATCGCTTACAAAAGTGTGAATTCAGCCTCTTCTCTAATGAACATCCCTCTCAGTGAGTGTTTAAACCCTGCCATGTAGACTAGTCCTTCTCTAAGAACTTTCCTGGCAGATTTTTCAAGGTTTGTGAAACCATGCTGAATGTGGTATGTCCTTCTCTACATTAGCTGTTCAATCATGTTCAGAGGTGGTTCCACTGCACAGGTTGCTGACATCTGTTGTCAGCAAAAGGCAATTTTCCTAATGTACTGAAGGCTAAGGTTCGACACTTTTGCTTTCCTGGTGTGGACAGGACCCTTAAAGCTTTAAAAATGTTAACATTTGAAACTGGTTAAATTGAAGACAAGTACACACCAGATTTGTCAGTGTATCTAACTGTATATCGTGACCAAGGCTGGTTTTTTTCCCAACAATCACAGGAGTAATTTAGCTTGTGATTTTCATGATTTACAAAAAAATCCCTACATTTTGACATGTGAGGATTCATTTTTTGGAGCTGGGTGGGTGGAGGTAACAGCAACAGCTCAGTCAGTTTCATGGACAACCTTGAGAGATACAAAATTAAACCTGGCACTTGAAAAACTAAGGGAAGACAGGAGGAAAACAGAACTGCTACACAGAAGACCAGATCAAAGAACTATCTGCAAGGGCTTTAATTTTCCAGGGGTGATGAGATTTCTCCCTCTTCCTGCAGAAATAAAAAAAAGACAGTTAAACATTTTGGGGGGCTAAGTTGGGTTTCAGAAAAGTACACTCTGATAGTGGAGCTACTATGTTTCAGTGTGTTGACTGTTTTCATAGCACAAACACAGTTCTAGCTAGTTCACTACAATAGGGAACAAAGAACTACCCTGGGTAGAAAGCATTAACAGCATTTTAAAAATATATTTCAATACTGACTCTTGCACTTTTCATCATAAATACTTTTTATTTTTCCTTAAAAATATCATGATAAAACAGCTTTAATCATGGCTCATTTGCATAATTATGTAAACTTTTTTGATACCATTAATACATATGGAAACCATGGACCAAATATTTAAAGATGTGGGATATATACAGTATATTAAATATTTCTTAAGTGTATGCATGTGTTTTATTTCAGATTGCACTTCCACTTTTGGGAGACGTGGGTGCTTCATTGAAGGTAGTATATTGGTACAGGAGGAAGTCTTTCCACTAATATGAATGGGTTGTTCAAAGCAACATAGACATTGGCATGTTTTCATAAGTCAGCTTTTCCTAAAACCAAGGTTATGTTTTACTATATACTGTAGATCACCAAAGTTAGGGGTGTAAGACATTTCAGAGACAGTAAAAGACCTGTCATGTCTGCCATCGGAAAAATTTGGATCCTGATCCAGATCCTTACTTTGAAGCCTGGGTCCACCTCTTGCTTTTCATTAAACCACTCAAGCCTCTCTTTTGTCTAAAAACAAATCTACTTGTTCTTCTTCGAGTAAGGTCCCTATGAACACTCTAGTTCCTTCACTCTAGGTGTTCTTGCATCCCCTGCGCCTTTGATCGTAGATTTCTCATAGAAGTGTCTGTTCAGCCCACAGATGCATGTTACTCAGTGCTGATGTTATGTAGCCATGCACGTGCGAACTGCTCTCAGTTCCATCTCAACTGCCTCAGGCTGAAGCGGCCTTAACAGTTGTCCACGTTGTTTTACCTCAACTGTGTCCCCTTAGCTCTTTTAGTAGTTAGTTTATTATAATTGCTCTTAGTAGTAGTTAGTACTTTGTAGTAGTTTTAGGTGTTGTAATTTAAAAAATAAAATAAAAAACCTTTTCCAAAAAAAACGTTCTGTGTGTACATTGCCTGTTGTGCCAGGAGGCAATCCTGGTGAGTGACGGACACTCCCAGTGCATTGCTTCAGGGAATCTCATATTTTCCAAAAGTGCAACTTCTGCCTCGCCTCAAAATCTAGAGCCAAGAAACCAGGGAGATCATGCACCATTTTCTGTTTCATTCACATTTAATATATTATCACTAAAATTACACCACTGGAAGATTTAAAATAATAAACCCCCCAGCATCTCCTGTGTTCTTGATTTATTTAATGTCTCTGTAGAAAGGTTAATCACCTCAATTCTATGTATTTCCAACAAAATGTTTGTAGCAACTTCCAGGCTTGTGTTCCTGGATTAATAGGCATAAAAGGAGAAAAGGGAGTAGCAGGCTTTCCTAACAGGGATGATCACAAAGGCAGGAAGCCAAGATTATGAGTGTGACTATATATTCATATTATCCACTGTTTCTTTTGCTAAAGTACTTCCCATCATTTTATTTTCCTCTGTTTTCCAGGGTGATACTGGGCCGAGAGGTCCTCCAGGAATCCCTGGTAGGGAGGGACCAAAGGTAAGTTTATTAAGTGAGTACTTTAGATAACCTTTTTTTTAACCATTAAAAATGCAGGGCCAAATCCTATTTGTCTATCTCAGGGGTCAGCAACCTTTCAGAAGTGGTGTGCTGAGTTTTCATTTTTCACTCTGATTTAAGGTTTCACGTGCCAGTCATACATTTTAATGTTTTTAGAAGGTCCCGTTCTATAAGTCTATAATATATAACTAAACTATTGTTGTGTGTAAAGTAAATAAGGTTTTTAAAATGTTTAAGAAGCTTCATTTAAAATTAAATTAAAATGCAGAGCCCCCCGGACCGGTGGCCAGGACCCAGGCAGTGTGAGTGCCACTGAAAATCAGCTCGCGTGCCGCCTTCAGCACGCGTGCCATAGGTTGCCTACCCCTGGTCTATCTTCTATACTTATAAGGCCTTCACTACTGTAGTATCTCAGAACCTCATAATCTTTAGTGTATTTATTCTCACAACACCCCTATGCTACAAAGTGCTGTGATTCATTCCCATTTTACCGATCAGGAACTGAGGCACAGAGGACTGAGCGAGTTACCCAAGGCTATGCAGGAAGTCTGTGGTGAAGCAGGGAATCTCCCAATTCTCAGGGTAGCACCATAATCACTGAACCATCCTGAGTACTTACATATTGTTACTCATGTGAATAGTCTCATTGATTTCAGAGGGTCATATTCTAAACTTGTATTGAAGTCATTAGGATTTGTGCCTTACTGAAGAATTACTGAAAATCACAGGTTTTGACACCTAAACCACTTAGAGCAAAATCCAATAATAATCATTTAAAAGTATACATTCTCCTTTGAAAAGAGTTCTAACCTAGCCTTCTGCGTAGTGTATGCGCAACATGCCTCAGATGGCACGTGACCAGGATTCATCACTGAATTTGGTCTGCTGGTTGAATCATTAGCTTCCCCAGCCCGGGCAATTACTGATGGGGAGCGCAACATGAACACTGATCCATGCCCTCTGTAAGCTAGTTGTAGTTTATCAAGCTAACTTTGAATTCAGCCTTAGTCTTTTGGGCCAAATTCAACCATATAAGAAGTAGGCATAATGTTTATTGACCTTAGTGGGACCTGTGCCGGGGTGGAATTTGGCTCTTTGTTTGTTTTATGGTCCCTTACTGCTAACCCATAAGCTCCATACTAGCATATTTAAAATGAAACATACTACAGCACATAAATTTTCATAACCGTAATAAAATACAGTAATAGTTCAAAAGTTATGTCTTTATAGGGAAGCAAAGGTGAACGTGGATTTCCTGGACTTTCTGGAGAGAAAGGTGATGAGGTAAAATTATTTTAATTTCAATAATCATTATATTACAATTATTCTTATGTGTACATGAATAAAGGTCCAAATTGAGAATTAAATACACATATTATCTAATTCTCCAGAATATGTGAAGAAGAAATGTAAGCATTAGAAAGGCTGATATTAACAGTTTTTGATTCTGAATTTTCCAGATAATTAAGTACTGTTACTCAGTTAAGTAAGGCAGTTTTATTTTTCACATCTCTTAATTTAATTATAAATGATAGTATATTTAAATGCTAATATTGAGAAGATAATACAAGATAGAGCAATAAATGGGTATATGCCCAGTATTCTCAGAATGTTTGTTCACGTTTTATAACAAATTTGCTTTGACTATATTACTGCCCCTTTAGTGTTCATTTTCCAAAAGTATTCTAATGAACAAATTTAGTGGCAGTATTATTCATGTCAACAGCAAATATTAAGTGAATGTAGGAAAATATTCAGAGAGATTGAATTTGAAAATGTGAGTATTTTCATGAGATACTGGATTCCTAGGATATTGTAAGCCAGTAAGAGTACAGAGAAATACCATGTGACCTATTGCCCAATGAAAATGAAATTCCACAGCTCCAATTTTGAATGCCAAATATTTGCAATGAAAGCTCAAGATCAATCTTATGTCAAAAGAATTCACCAAAATTAATCAGTTAATAAATGTGAGTGAATCATGTGCTCCTTGGAGATAATTTGTCAGATGAAATAGTTAAAATAAATCATCCATTACAGATTATTTGCTGAGCTTTATTAAATACAAAAGCACCTAAACTGAAACATGTTAAATATACTACTCTCTTGTAAATGTTATTACTTTGATAGGAGAGAAAGCATCTGAAAAATTATGATTGCTAATATTTGGAATTTTGAATGTATTGATGAATTTCTTATTCTTTCTGGGGTTTCATAGTACATAGCTAATGTTAATTATGGAGTGAAGGTGAATTTAAAAAAAAATATGGATTGAAAGTGTTTTTCAAACTGAAATTTGTACTCAACACTATCCATCACTTCAAGAGCATGATCAGGTAAAGTGTGTGTCAGATTTTCACCAAAACTGTGATGAATGATGATGATTTTTTACCTTTGATTTAGTCGATATGCTTCCTTTCCTGCACAATTCAAAATAAATCCAGAAAAATGCTAATAACAATGATGAATTATTGTCAGACTAAGCAACTGATATAAATGTTAAGGGAAAAAAGAAAATTTATGTGGAACATCTTAGCTTGAGGGTGGTGTAAAGAATCAGAACAAAAGTGTTAGATATGTTCAGCTTTTGCCCCTGCTTGCTCTAGATCTCAGCAGATTGCTAAAATATAAATATGGTTTTGGAAATTATCATGTTTTTTCTTCCTTTTGTATTGATACTATTCAGAGAATCTGCAAAGTCGGTGCTTCTTAAATATTCAAGATGTCCTGAGATTTAGAAGACATACTTTAAAATAAATTTACAATAATATATAAGGCTCTAAAACATTTTATTTTAAAAATAAACAGGACTGTGGTAAAATAGTAGTGTGGCCTTTCTCTGTGTGCACCATCTCTGGTGCAATGCATGCAGCAGCAACTTGACACACAGAGAACCAATTTTAAACAATTCTGATGGTATCTAACTGACCAAAGTTGAGACAGATCTTAGAGGCAATTGAGAAGGTAATAACAAAAAAACCAGGTTATAATTGGCACTTAGGCTTTTAAAGAGACTCCAGAGTAAATTCATTCTAAATAAATTTTTATTGATTCAATAGGTTTCAGTGCTCACTCAGTCAATAACGAAGCTATTCTAATGCTCCTTCACTATTTGGTAAGTGCTTAGGCACTCCAGCAATGTTGGGTAGCTCCAGTGTTTTAGCAGATGCTTTAGGTTACTTCATTGTAACTGGGTGAATGAATGTTACTTCCAGGAGACAACATAATGGAGTTGTTATCCAGTAATGGATCTGAAGTTCTCATGGTTTTTATGATTTGGTTTGATTACCAGAGCCACAAATGGAACAATAGTTTTAGGGTCTTCTAAAGCTCATTGAAGCCAGTGGAAATACTCTCATAGACATAAATGGGCTTTTGGAACAGGCCCTTAATGATTATACATTTGGAATTACATAGTATTTTATAATTCATGGAACTATAAACCAAAACTCCATTTATGCAGCTGAACGATCCAGTGCCTCTCCGATTTAATTCAATGATAAACTTTAATTTGCTTTCGTGGGAGCAGTATCAGGCCCTCTATTACTCACATATTAAGCTACTTCCATAACTCAGAATTCTCTTTTCCCTGATCTTTCCTCCACTTCTTTCATATTCCCCAGGAGTATCTGGTCTCCGAGTTTCAGTATACTTTGAGAATTTCACTGTTAAGACAATTTAGGTTTTGCAAAGGCCTATGAAAGGAATGTTATCTGGTGCTTTTCAGATTGCACTTTCTGATTACAATGTGAATGTGAGTGTAAGAATTATAACAAACTTAATTCTTAAGACTATCATAGGTCTCTCTGTATTATTAATGAGGTTCTGTAGTTGGGGAAACTAATTCAAAATTGGGCACAAATCCCACAAAATATTGGGGGGCCCTCTCCCCACATCTTGAGGAGGCTTGAGTCTCCCTAAATGGCCTTGTCCCCATGTGGATAGATTTTTGTGCTCACCCTAGTCCCCACCTCTCCATCCTTTCCTTATTTCTCCCTTTTCTTCTTTAACTCTTCTACTTCCCCCTGAATTTTCCCTTTTCTGGGCTCCTTTGCTTTCAGATTTTCTGTGAAGTATCAGGGGAAAGGTTATGATCTGCTGAAAGTCATTTCTCTATTCATATATGTATATCATTAATGCATATGAAGTTATGAGAATTGTATTGTAGGGTTGTCACTAAATCATGCTGTAAGTTGGGGAATCAGCCAGATATTAGCTTCCCAGAGGGAACAGGAAGGAAAGTAACCAACACCCAGGCGGAGCATCAAACAGCCCATCAACAGCCATATCCAGCAAGGGAGCTACAATGCAGTGACTCACCTGCATGAGGCCACACCAGGGGAATTGCTCAACCTTCCCTAGTGACTCAGTAATGCCCACCAGACATGCCTGGGCTTGTGTGTTCCCCAAGCACATGGGACTTAGGGTATAAAACAGAACACAGCAGGCCCATGCTTCATCTTTCTCCTGCTCCCACCAATGCTGCAAAAAACCAAGGCACTCAGAAGAAGACTGAAGACTCCAACAGAGGAGGCTGGTCCAGGTTTAAGGGACAAACCTGTATATTAAGGATGCAGTATCCAGTGGGTTGAGAAAAACTGCTTAATCTACAATTTGCCCAGTCTAATAGGGTTGAGAATTTAGACTGTGTGCTTATGTTTTATTTTCTTTTGGTAACTAACTCTTGAGTTTTTGCCTATCACTTACAATCACTTAAAATCTATCCTTTGTAGTCAATAAATTTGTTTAACTGTGTCAAGGGTTTAGATGTGGGGACCTGCATGAGAACCTCTAAGCTTAACTACCTGCTTAGATCTGGTTTTGCTGCCACCACCCAAATTATTTATGGGTCATTTGGGAAACTCTGTCTACCTCCCCCTCAGAATATCTTCCTCTCAAGTACTATAACCCTTCTCTGGGTAGCCTTGAGAGACTTCACCAATTTCCTGGTGAGTCCAGATACAACTCCCTGGGATATTAAAACAAGGAGAAATTAACCAGGTTCTTAAAAAGAAGGCTTTTAATTAAAGAAAGAAAGGTAAAAATCATCTCTATAAAATCAGGATGGAAAATAACTTTACAGGGTAATCAGATTCAAAGAGCCCAGAGGAACCTCCTCTAGCCTTAGGTTTAAAGTTACAGCAAACAGAGGTAAACCCTCTAGCAAAAGGAACATTTACAAGTTGAGAAAACAAAGTTAAACCTAACATGCCTTGCCTGGCTGTTACTTACAAGTTTGAAATATGAGAGACTTGTTCAGAAAGATTTGGAGAGCATGGATTGATGTCCGGTCCCAATTAGTCCCAAGAGCAAACAACCCCCAAAACAAAGAGCACAAACAAAAGCCTTCCCCCTCCCATGATTTGAAAGTATCTTGTTCCCTTATTGGTCCTTTGAGTCAGGTGTCAGCCAGGTTACCTGAGCTTCTTAACCTTTACAGGTAAAAGGATTTTTGTGTCTCTGGCCAGGAGGGATTTTATAGTATTGTACACAGGAGGGTTGTTACCCTTCCCTTTATAGTTATGAAGAACTGTTTATTTTTACCAGTGAGTTTGTATGAAGTGTGTGGCAAAACTGCTCAGGTTTGCAAAGGCTGGTGTATATCCACTTTCCACCAATGAAGTGGTGAGCCAATTAATAAATTTGCACTGCCCATCTTGAGCAGTGGGAGACAGTATATTCATGAGGTACAAGGCTAGGAGCTGGGGGGATTTGGCTGGTGCCTTTCCCTGTGTGATCCATGAGTGGCTCTGGGAGCATTCATGCAATCTAGTTGGCTGGGGGGCTCCACATCCGATTGAGCTGAGTGATAACAGCATCCGGAAGAGTTTGCTGCTGGTCACTGGCAAGGCATTGTGAGAGACAGCCCAGGCTGGAGAGTTAAGGGAGCACACAGTCCCAGGCTGCACCCCAGGGATCCCGTCACAGAGGTTTTGTGTGCACACTGAGAAAGCAATTTATGATAACTGAAAGCCACGGTCAGTTCTGGAATGCCCTACAAAGAACAGCAGCACCACTGACAGTGAGTGCAAAAAATACCATTTTCCCTCACTCCAAGTACATTGTTATAAAAGAAAAAACACTTTGGGGAGTTACAGAGAAGTCTTTTTTTGTTGTTCTTTTGGAGACTGAGACCTCCAATCCTATGTTGAGAACCTTTAGGATGTCAATGTAGAAATGATAAGGATAATGGGCTACTTATCTTTGTTCAGATATACTAAGTCTGCATAGTGGATAAGTGTCTTTCTCTTCCATCACATGCTCATCACCAGATGTTGCACTAGTACTCTGAATATTAACTGATACAATCATTCCAGGTCTTTTTAGTATTGATATACGGTATGGATTATAAATTCAAACAAAGAGATTTAGCTATTCGCCTTTGAGATGAAGTCTTATTAAAACTATTAAATATATTTTACACACATGCCGAGTGCTAGTGTATTTTCAGGCCATAAAATAGAATTACGAGCAGTAGCTGGAAGAAAAGTGTGCAGTAGTTCTTTAAGTGCTATGATAAAAAATCCATACTTTTTTATTTACATAAAACCAAAATAATTGGGATATTAGGCACAAAGCAACATCCAGCTTAGATATTATCAGGTAATATTGAGAGGTGTGAACAGACGCCTTTCTGAACAGGAAGAAAGTTTATAGTGATAAGAAAAGGAAAAATTGTTTCTGTACTTTGCTCAGACATCATGATCTTATCTACAGAGCTAAAGAGGAAAAGATATAAAGGACAGAAGTTACCAACAGTAATGATGGGGAAAAGTGTAATTTATCCTTCAAACAAGAGGTTATCTATTATTTGCTACTTCAGAACCATATATGTTTGTTTAGCTAAAAAATAATTTGTATATAAACTGTAACAGTGATGGGTATGATGGATAAAATAGATTTCAAGATTAAACCTGTGTTATGGTGAAAAATATTCATAAATGTTTTTAATTCCTCAGGGTCTTCAAGGTATTCCAGGACTCCCTGGTCTAACAGGACCTAATGGACCTTCTGTAAGTGTTTGATATAATCTATGATTTAATCTATTCATTTGGAGGTTACAATAACTGTCTAATGAACCTGTTGTACTCAATGTCAAGATGTAATGAAAAGGGGACTCGGTTGAGCCAAATGTTAAAGAAGCTAAATCCAATAATCCAGTACTAATTGAAAATTAAAGAGTTATTTGGGGAGTAATGCTTTAGCTTACGGAAAGATGAGATAATTTAATATGAATTTGTGACTCCAGAGATTTAACTTTCACTTAAATAATAGCTTCATATTGGTTCTTCATATTTCTAGCCTGTTCTTTTCTCTGTGGTGCTAATAAAGAGCCAGAGTTTGCCTTCAGTTGACTTCTGGGGAGTTGAATGAATGTCATTGTAAGAGTAACAGAAGTTGGCCCAAGTAGTTTTGTAGAAACAAGTTATGTTGTGAGTTCAAATTCCTGAAAATGTTGCCATTGTCAGAACCATTATTGTGTATATAATTTATAATATGTTTCTTGGTGATATTATCAGGAAATCTATACACAAAATTGATTTGAACGATGTAATAACTTTCAGATAATTATGCATCTGAACCCAAATTATTGGTATAATGTTAGTGATAAATTCTAATAATAATTCTATTTGAACACTCTGAAAACACTGAATCCTGAAACTTAGTAATTATAAAGTGTGACTCTAAATTGGCTATTTATATAGAAAGCCAGTGAGCCACATTTGTAAAGCAATGATAGAAAATGTTATATCTTTTCCATACCCTTAGGAAATATTATTACATTTTACTTCCTATTTAAAAGATGCAGATCACATTGTTTATTCTGCTTATTTTTAATTTCCTGACTGCTTGCAGTACTTAAGTTAAGCTTTCTTTCAAAAACTATAACACATTTAGCAAAGCATAATGGGTAATTATGTAAATTGCCATTTAAGCAGCAAGGCTAAATTCTTAGCAGTATCAAAAGGTACCAATTAAGGTCACTACATTTAGTCTGCCAAGGTGAAAATGCAACCACAAACACAAGTTTTACCCTTCATAGGGCTTATCAGTAGTATGCAGCTGTTGTATCAGCCAGAAGAAATATAAGCCTAGAGGAGAGACTTAATTAAGTTGAAATGACCTTCAAAAAGTATGAGTTTTAATAACTTAATTGCAGTGCAGAACACCTTGTTGTATTCTTTCATCACTAATATGAACCAATCCTATGTGTTTCAGGGAGCAGTAGGAAGACCTGGACATCCTGGTCCAGTTGGGGCAAAAGGAGAAAAGGTATTGAACATTATTTTTTATTTCAGTTCCAGTGAAGTCTATGAAGAATTCTCTAGTTCCTTTCCTCACTTATGGTTTTCTTGACACGCCAGAAACTGAGCATGACTACCCACGGAGTCAAAAGGCTGTATGGTACAAACAGAAATTGAACAGACAATGTTACTACCCATTTTTGACCCAAGTGGTTAGCCAAAATTTGTGGTCCTACAAGGTTGTTTCTGTTAAGAGGAGAAATTGATGTTGGAGCCAGGTATTTCTATGATGCAATCCTGTTTGTCTATGAAGATGTACACAGCCTCTTTCAGCCAGCTCTCCTGTCTCCTTGGTTTTATGCTCCTCTCTTCATGTCTGTTTCTAATGTTTCTTGCTGTTTCCCTCTGTTACACACACACACACACTGCTCCAGTCCAGTCAGTCTTCCACCCCTGATAAGAGCACAATGGAACCCTTCTTGAGCCACATGTCTAACTCCTACCTGAGCCTGGCATGCGGTCTTTTTTTTTAGTGGAGGTCCATATTGTTTCAGAGCTCAATGTTTATATTTATTCTGAATGATGAATTTGAAAATTTCCTCTAACAAAACAATAGCAGCAGCAAAGAAACGAACTCACCTTCCTCCTCCCAGTCACTTAAAACAAAATTAAATGCAAGAAACTTCCTTGTTAACTCAGTACACAGATTTACTCATAAAAGGTCTGGTAAAGCAAAGTTCCAATAATAACTAACTCAGACTCAGGACACACATTTTCTGTTCTTGGATTTCAGGTTGAGGCTAGCTGGGAGGGATTCCAAGCTCTTTGGAGGACAGGATCATAATTCAAAATGATCTTGATAAATTAGAGAAAGAGTCTGAAATCAGTAAGACAAAATTCAGTAAAAAACAAGTGCAAACTTCTGCACTTAGGAAGGAAAAATCAAATGCACAAATACAAAATAACTGGCTACTGCAGAACAGAATCTGGGGGTTATACAAGATCACAAATTGAATATGAACCAACAATGTCATGGTGTTGTAAAAAAGGCAAATGTTATTCTGGGATGTATTCACAGGAGTGTCATACCTAAGACATGGGGGGGGGTAATTGTTTCATTCTACTTGGAACTGGTTAGAGCTCAGCCGAAGTAGTGTCCAGTTTGGAGCACATAATCTAAGAAAGATGTGAATAAATTGGAGAGAGTCCAGAAGAGAGCAACAAAAAATGACGATAGGTTAAGATGATAAGAAAACCTGACCATGAGGAAAGGTTAAAAGAATTGGGCATGTTTAGTCTACAGAAGAGAAGTCTGATGCGGGGGACATAAGTCTTCAAATATGTGAAAGGTTGTTGTAAAGAGGACAGTGATCTATTGTGTCCACAGAGGGTAGAACAGTTAATTGGCTTGGTTTGCAGCAAGGGAGATTTAGGTTATATATTAGGGAAATGTTTCCAACTATAAGGATAGTTAAACACTGGAATAGGTTACCAAGGAAGGTTTTGGAATCCCCATCATTTCAGGTTTTCAGAACAGGTTAGACAAACACCTGAGTGTCCAAAGATTTAATAACTATGGTAAGTGCACTATATAGATAATCCAAAACAATGATTCAAGCATGTTTGAGCAACAAGCCCCTTTGAAGCCCCTTTGAAGTAATAATCAGACTGCATCAGGGTTGACCCTCAGTCTGCTGCTGTGTATCATATTGATGGACTACATCAGCAGAAAGATCTTAATGGGGAAAAGGTCACAAGTTGCTATATGCAGACAAAATAGCAATATGGATGTTCTCAAAAGAAGACCTTGGGGAAATAATAAATCAGTGATTTGACCAGCTAAGCAGGCCTGGGATGAAAATGAACATGACTAAGACTGAGGTCATGTAGGTCAGTAGAGGTGCCACAGGAAACTGGATATAGAGATTAATGGAATACAGCTACACCAAACTGACCAGTTTAAGAATCTTAGTGGCTGGGTTACAGAAGACAGTGAGATAGTATATCAGATACAGTTCAAACTAGAGAATGCTGGAAGAATGAGGAATAACATGGCAGGTTTTCTGGTGGCACCTTAAAGACTAACAGATTGTCTGTTAGTCTTTAAGGTGCCACCAGACTCCTTGTTGTTTTTGTAGATACAGACTAACATGGCTACCCCCTGATACATGGCAGGTTTTGTATGACAAGCATATGCCATTTACAGAACACGGGTGCATCCAGCAATGTTGTATGGCACAGAAGCATGGTCACTAAAGAAATACCTACAGGTTTTTGAGATGAGATGCCTTCAGTGTATATAGAGTTCGAAAAGACAGATTTCAAAATGAAAGCATTAGAATGGATGTCAGGTCTGTGATGTAGCTGACAAAATCCAGGAAGCATGACTTCACTGTTTGGACACATACAGAGGATAAATGAAGAGGACCTGGTGAAGATAGCATGGCAGGAGAAGATGGTAGGAAAGAGACTCCAAGGAAAGCCTAGGAAGTGGTGGGTGGATTGCATCAAAGAAAATGGTAAGCAGGTGGACATCAATGCAGCCTGAGACAGATGAACATCCTGTTTGCATGACATCCTGATGCCAGATGATGGAATTAGGGGAAGGAGAAGAGGAAGAAGTTAGATGAACACCTGTCAGGGATGGTGTGATAGTTCTCGGGGTATCTAGGACTGTGAGTCACCTTGTTACCCCCTCGCCTCCAGCAAGGAAAGACTTGTTTGTGTTTAACTGGGTGTCAGCTCCCTGATACCACCAGCCTTTTCGTCATCCAGTCTCCTCTGAACAATGCCAACCCTACTTTGTCTGGCAAATTAACAACAGATGTGTCCCAGTCCCCAAGCTCCTTTGATGCATTCCCCTATAGTGTCCAGCACTTTATTCATGGAACACTTGCAGGAATACCAGCTTGTATAATTTAACTCAGGATTCTCACCTTGCTTAATACCACAGCACTGAGATATATTTATAGGGAAAACAATATGATTCAAGAGATAGTGAGTAAGGATAATGGAAGCAAAAGGTTACATAAAAACGAAAATCATAACACACTTTCTAGAGACTAAACTTGCCTTAGTAGGCTAATCTTCTGTCTGAAGAAGTTTATCTCCCCCCAAATGTCTTCTGAAGCATTTCAACCAAGGCTGGTTGAGATACCATTTTCATGAATGTAAATTTACTGCCCATTTACTTCCTAAGTGCAAGATGACAGGCTGTCTTCTATGTTCCCATAATATAGTCCAGCAGACCTTTGAAATGTATCTCAAGATATTCCTGTTGTGTGCTCTTCTGTGTTGTCTTTGTATCTCTCTGTTGACTTTGTATGTAATGTTCCACCATTGTGTCAGCTTACAATGCTTAATTTACAGGCCAACAAGGAGACAGGAGAATAAACATCTTTTGTCTGTCAGGACCACGTTTTTTCCTCCACCACTGCTGTGATACAGAATCTAAGAACATATTTTCAATTTACATATATAACTCCTCACCTAATAGGAGGAGTTATACGTTCACAACTATATTACCAACGAGTATGACACTGGCTTTCATTTAAGGCTTCACACAACTATATTTGGTGAACCAGAATGTACATACCAGAATCAGAATATTCTTGTAACACACTTGCCAGTTGGCACTGAGGGTTTATGGGTCACAGATCATCTAGGTGTACTAGGTCCTGTCTCAGCGTGGGATAGATGGTCTTCTCACGGTCTCTTCCAGCCCTGCATTTCCATGGTTCTGTGTTTTTATTGACTCGTAATAGTGACATTACCAGAAGAACTGACTTCCATGGGACAGTGCTTCATGTCATAACATAAAAAAGTAGCAGCCCACACTTGTTCAGAGTGCCCACTAGTATGTAAATTGTTTGGGGAGCCTGTTCACATGTATCCCATTTCAGTCCATGTCAGCCCAACAGGCAACAGATATAACCTACCCAAAGTTAGACCATCATCACAATTCACTACAAAAAGTGATGAATTCATTCTTTCTGTCATATTTCAATGATAGGTTTGTTCTTGTTTTGTTCTGGGTTTTTTGTTTTGTTTTGTTTTTGTCTAAGTGATGGTTGTTTCTTTATAACTTAATCCATAAACTGAAGATTATGTTCAACAAAGTGGTTTATGATTTATGAAAATTATTCTGAACTTTTATTTTCTAAATTTTGTTTATTGCTATGAAGTTTAACATCTTTCTCGCTGCCTTTTCTCCCAATAATATGAGGCATATATTGTATTCAGTTACTCAAATCACTCTAGATTACAAGTAAAACTACTATGTTAAAATTTCCATAAGGAAATCTATTGAAAATAATCAGTGTCATAGGGCTAAGACTCTAGATCTAATATAAATATATTATTCTCATATCTGCTCACTCGTTTGTTTGTTTGTTTGTTTATGTTATTTTACTTAGGGGATTAAGATGAAACTAGAGAGAGGGGAGGCCAAATTAACCTCTTATATAGCTGTACTTATCCAAAAAAGGAGGAGGAGGAGGGGTCATATAGATTGTATTTCTTGTTTATTATCATTGTGCTAGGTATTACATCAGTTTCAGTAAATGAAATGTATGAATCTTATATTGTCATAGGGTAATGAGGGTTCTCCTGGAAAGCCTGGATCACCTGGACCTCCAGTAAGTCATTTGTTTCATATTCTGAATAATATATTTTGATAATTTACCTAAGGATGTCGTGGATTCTCCAAGTCTTTGAATCAACATTGGATGTCTATCTAAATCTAAAAGATATGCTATAGCTCAAGCAGAAGCATATGGACTTGATCCAAGAGACATTTGGGCAGTCTTGCACAGGATGAAAGATTACATGATCATAATGTCAGGTATCAGAGGGGTAGCCATGTTAGTCTGGATCTGTAAAAAGCAACGTTGTTTTTTACATGATCATAATAGACCCTTTTGGCCCAAGCTCCTATTGACATCAGTAGCCAAGATTTCACCCTATGAATCTCTGAAAATAATATGAGTACTTTTTCTGTAAAGCACTCTTCATAAAATATTTCTTTTTAAAAATACAAAATCCAGTAAAATACAAAATGCTTTAAGAATATAACAGGCAGGCATGGAGAAAATATACTAAAACAATATGAGGTTTGAGGGGATAGATTCTTCCTTTATAAACCTAGAGTCAGGCTGCAGGCCACCTGTTCAGGTTGTACATGGCATCTTGTACAGCCAGTGGGTTGTAGTAGTATCTGACTGCATGACCATTCCCTATTCTGCCCCTTTTTCATTCCCCCCCATCCACAACTGTGACTATTCTGCTGCAGCCTACTGGTTTCACCAATAAAGTATATGAAAGTTAAAGTAAAATAAAACCAGCCATATTTATTTACATTCATTTGTTTTGCATGATAAAACTTCACATTTTAAAGTCTTCTGAACTCAATACATTTCTCTTTCGTACTGAAAACACATTGTAGTTCAAGTGCAAATTGATTTGGGGATGGAAAAGGTGCGTGTCATCTTTGGTCTTCACTTTGTCATTCTCCCTTTTCTTATGCATACATTTTATAAATCTCCATCTATGAAAAAAGATTACATCCATATATCCTTCCTTCACCTTAAATATTCCGTGAATAGAATTTGAAAAAATATAACTCTCTTTTCAGAAGCAAGAGTTTCATCCATTCGTATCTTGAATACACTTGAGTTAACTTGTGCTTTTTGTGCTTTGGCGGTCAACAGGCTGTAAACATTTAGCATAAACTGGTAGTTCAGCTATTGAATTTTATTGAATTCATAATGTTTCTTCTGAATTTATTAGTGTCTCATCTGTCAAATCTGAGCATTAATTCAAAGCTATAGTACAAGCCTCTATACTCTTGAAGTACTTGAAGCCTGACTCAAAAGCTTTGCAGTTTTCATTTAAAATGTAACTTTTTAAGGTGATAAAAAATGAAATGTACAATACCTTGAATTCCTTTACCTTCATTTGGCCAGTCACGTAAATGGTTTGGCAATTTTATATAATAAAAATTATACAGTTACCTTAGGATTCATGAGCCTTCATTTTTATAAGCTGATAAAAAGTCCAATCCTCCATTCATCATACATCCCAAACTCTTGACTGACTTCATTGGAGTTTTTGCAGGACAGACCTGTCACAGTTCGGGGCAGTTGCACCTATATTCCCTCTCTAGGGTCCCACAAGGGCACCCACTCATAGGCTTTCAGCTGCCCAGCCGCCACCACTCTGGGTGTAGACTCCCTGTAGGGAGAGACTGTAGGTCTCTCTCCCTTCTGAGCATGGTAATTCCAGGCTCCCTGCCTACACAGTATTCCCCAGGAAAGTCAGGCTGCCTAAACAGGCCTGCTTTACTTTTCTCCTCAGAGATGGTAAACAGGGTAATTGCCACAATTAAGTTGCCACATAGCTCTTTCTAAGCAAGTACATTTATTTTAAGGAAAAGCGTTACAGAGAAAACATGTTAACAATAAATGAACCTACTTACGTGCCAATAAACATACGAGAGATCACCCCCTGACTGTGGCCAGTGAATCGTCCTTTGCACCCCACCAAGGGTTTATTCTGTGGTCACAACTTCATAACAGCAGTTAGCTCAGAACAAACACAAAGACTAGGCCATGCCTTCCAAGGATTGGGGCCCCCCTTGGACCGAAGGTTCTGGCCATTTGCTGGATCAGAAAGAATGCACTGAATGCACTTTTCTTTGTTGGCCCCTGAAGAATCCGATTTGAACCAGTATTTGAGAACCTCTTTCCAGGGTGGTAGCCCTCTGGAGGTGTTACAACCTGAGTGAATTTGCCTAACCACCCCCGACTCCTCTTAGTTCCCGGAGAGCTGAGGCCCCCCTCCTCCATGGAATTACACACAGTCCCTGACCTACAAAGATAATAAACTGAATTCAATAAGGTTTGTCCAGGATATTGCAGGTAGTTGCCATATCTGTCACAAGACCCATTAACAGAAATGGTACTTTGGCTTTGTTGTGTACTAACAATTCAAAGGATGAAAGGCTGTTTTTCCATTGATTTCACCTTCATAGTTGTGAAATTTTTAAAAATATTTTCTGAATATTTTCCTATTTTAAGGGTATGCCTTACAATGAAAGGAATGGAATGAGCAGCTTATATAAGCTACAGGTATTTTTCTTTATTAAATAATTTAACATTTTTTTCCTGATTACTGCCTTATGAAACAAATGAAAATTGTTTTCTTTCCCCAGGGAGGTGTAAGTGTTGCTACTTATCCTGGTCCGCCGGGCCCTCCTGTAAGTATTTAAGAGATATTATCTGTAATATTTAGTTTAAAACATTTACAGAAAGCTTCATATCTTGCATGCAACTTGTTTGTTGAGTAACAGAAAACTTTACATTTGAAAAATAACAATAAACAATTCAAATAGGATGTGACTGATACACGTTAATAATAAAACACACATTTCATAAGTATGTGTAATAAACAGCTTAGCAGACACTGGGAGAATGACTAAAATTTCAATATAAATATTGATAATTACAACCCTAGATTTTGCTGAATAGTACTTTAAAAATGCCAGTACCCTGATTAAAATTAATGGGATTACTCCTTTGAGTAAGTGCAGTTTAACATGAATATAGGTTGCAGAACTGGGCCCAAAAATAATTTGATCTTGGACTATATATTGCAGTAATGTAATAATTCTTAAAACATATAGTGCACTTTTTATCTTTAGAGGCAGTGTTGTTTAGTAGTGCATTAAATTTGGTGCTGAAAATAAGGAACTCATTAATTCTAATCTAGTGCTGTCACTGACTCGCTGCATAGCTTTGGACAAGTCTCTTAATTTCTCTGCCTCCATTTCCCCATCTGTCTACCCTACCTCTCTGGACGATGAGGAGAATGTGGGAATCATATGGACTGAATGTATCCCTCCCCTCGATTTTCATGAATTCCATAGGTGCTGCTGTCATCCTGGCTGAGAGCTCTGAAAGAGATCTGTCAGGCAGCGGTAACCTCTGAGCTATTCTGCCCCTTTGCATTCCTATGTGTCTAAGGTGGACTCTGTCTGCCCCTCTTACACATACACTTGGACTGTGGAGCCAGAGAGCCACATGGTTAGTGCCTTTGTGATGTTATAGCCATAGGCAGACTCCACCCCTGGCCTTAATCATTTTGGCAGCTGTATAAACCCTTTGTGGCCACTAATGAGGCACTGCTTTCCCCCTTGTGATATCATTTGCACTTCGTGGCATAGAATCAAGCCAGGCCACAGAGATACGCCCTGCTCTGCACTATAGAATAACACACACTAGGATTTGACCCAAATTTAACAAAATAAGATTCCTGCTGGTAGTGATTCTGAATACACTACTCTACCGTTTTTTTATAATTGTTATATATTTTTATTATGGTAGTGTTAAAGACACCACATTCTTGTCTAATTGTGTTCTGTTATTTTCTAATACCTTTGTTAATCATTCTTTGCAGGGTCCAAAAGGTGATCCTGGCACAATGGTATGTATATTTTATTGGAATGTGTCATTTCAGTCATACTGACAAGTGTGTCTTCATGAGTTGGAAGGTGGGGATGATGAGGAGAAGGAGTTGGAGGACTACTAGGGAACTGAGGACTTCATAGGTCATCAGAAGAGCCCTCCCTAAAGCTCAAAGTATGGTCCTAGCCATGTGAGTGGGACAGTCCAGGAAGTTGAGCAGGAAGTTACTCTATCAATACATTTAAGAAAACTTGTTTTATAACCAAGGCTAGAGAAATGTACAGCTCCAGGTTAATAGATTTCTTTTTACAGTTGTTAATATTATGTTCAGTGATACATTATATAAGCTGCCTGTGGATTTTGTTCTCTGTTTAGTAATCTATAGAGGCATTTAAGTCTGAAGAATTTGTATTATTTCAAGAGATTAAATCACTACTTGAAGTATGCCCCGTAGAAATAAAGATGGAAAATGTTTTAATTTTGAGCCCAATGCAGTAACACGTAAAGTTGAAATTGCTCATCGGGGGTGATCACATTGTACCAGCGTTTAGCAACCAGAAGACTATGTTTTCTTAAGGAACAGCGTAATGAGGGATTAATGCTCAAAAGTAATTAGAATATGATCAGGCTGTCTGTAGCTGCCAAGAAGTTGATGATAATTGGAGCCACAGTACATCTCAATTGTATAGCTTCACATTCAAAACCTATCTTAATAAAGCCGATTCACTGAATGCTTTGCAGTTTCTCCTCAAAGATTGCAGTGTGCCCTTTTAACAAAACCTTTATATTTCATATATTTACATTTTTGGAACAAATAGAAAAGCTTTGCAATGCCCAGGTTTTGGTAGATATTGTTTGTACTTTGACACCATGAAATATTTTTTCAGTTTTAATATGACATTTTTAAAGAGCCCGTAGGAAGCAAGTAGCTCCCAAACAAGATATATACATTTGTAATAACTGCCAAAGAGCGTGCAAATTTCAGATTGGACTAGTCAGTTACATGAGACATTGAAAACCGTCTACATCATAGGCTGTAATTCCCACCATCTCTCGCAGAGGAAAGGATGCCAATTTATTTAACATAATGCAGTGGGTGCCATTAAACCTGGACAGCAGTTAAACCACTCACAGCAGTTAAATCTACCACAGTCTAAGGCAGTGGTTCCCAAACTTGTTCTGCAGCTTGTGCAGGGAAAGCTCCTGGCAGGTTTTGGTCCTCATTTTCAAAGCAATTAATGGATGAAGCCCCAGCTACATCAAAGACCAAATTTTGATATATGAACCCATGTGATATCTGCACTCCTCTAGTACAGTGCAGGTTACAAAGTGCAGGATGAAATATGTGAAAGCTAGGAACAAAGCATTCTCTGTCGAGGGGCTCTTGGTAGGGAACAGTCTTTCAGAAGAGATTGGGCAAATCCAGAGTCTCACCATCTTTAGAAAAAAGCCTTTCCACCATGAGTAATACTTGGAATTTGAACAACTCTTCTATTCCTAAACAACTCTCAAGCCCCTAAATCCTCAGAAAATCTCTCTATCCCAGAGTTCTGACCCCATTAAAGGGAGAAGTTACAGAGATGCCATGAAATCCCCTTAGGATTTTGTTATTGATTTTACATGTAAAGCACTCAGATACTATGGTGATGGGCAGTAGTACAAAACTCCAAGATAGCTAGATAAATAGCTTGTTATGGTAAATGTCCCTTTTTTTTTCTTTCTTTTCTTTTTCTTTTTTTTTTTTTTTTTTGTTACTACTTCTACTATT